ACCAATCATTACGATTTATTACGGGTGTACGATATTGTCTAGACATCGATCTACGGAAAAAGGATTACGATATTGATTACGTGTGAACATCTTTGTCTTGGCATCATCGATATTTACGCAACACCATCTTGTACGATTTTACGGTTACGATTACGGTTACGGTTACGATTAGGGTTACGATTACGATCAATCACGTCTATTACGGAAAAAGAAATAGTGTACGATTTTAACGAATACGATCATCATAGTTATTACGGAAGAAGAATTCAGTGGACGATTTTATTATATCATCTGTTTTTACGACCACGTTTTTACGCTTATTTATTGTATTTATTAACTAATGGTTACGACACGTTCCGGATACGATACGGATATGACACCGGAAGAAATTAAAGCCGAGATCAAACGGATCAAGGCAGAAATTCGGTTGGCGGAAAATAAGATCAAGGGTTTGGGCGAACTCGAAGATCATCAGGATATGAAACGTTTAAGCAACGAATATTACCGGTTGTGTAACAAAATAATCGAAAGCAACGCCCTATCGATCGCTGAAGAGAAAGAGTTCGATAGCTTTAAACCAATAATCGATGATATCTTACGAATAAGTTCTGGTTTCGCTATTATCAACAATGGGCTAAACCGATTACGGAAAAAAGAAGCCATCGATCACGATAATAAAATTACGCGGAAGAAGCTTGATGATATGAAAGTCGTGGTCAGCTGCATCCCGAACATGGAAGAACAATTGGTGGAATTGGAGCGACAGTTTATATTGTTATCGGTCGAACAGGACGACAAAAATGATGTTGCTCCAAGTGAAGGAACCACTGATGCGGCCACAACATCATCAAGTAATCAAACATCATATAATGAAGCTCAACCATTTTGGTGGGATTATGGTTTCCAACCACGTACAGGTCCAAAGATTGAAGCGAAACGATTGAAAAAGTACGATGGTGATCCAATTGGATATCCGGTATTTCGAAAGACGATATCGCATTATCTAATTAATAATCCACAGTTACGAGGTAACCTGAACAAGCTGATGGAAGTCCGTGATTTGCTTCCTGAGAAACACCAATACATCCTCGATCGCGTAGATCAGGTTGA